AATTAGTACAGGAATAGGGGAAATAATAAATAAGAAGTGAAGACAAGATTTAACTTTATATATGAGGCAATGTAGAGTGTTTTGTTAGAAGTATGAAGCTGATTATATTTTTTTTCCGGGTTGATGATATCATGGAAGGATAATTGTTCATGTGAGACCTAAAATAAGAGACTTGATTAATAGTGGCCTTATTGACCATTTGTGTATAGCGTTTTGCAAGTTCTTGAAGTAATAGAGCAGTATTTTATAGACATAATAGCTGCCAATGGAGATTTATGGGAATAAAGTGAGGTGAAATATGTCTTTCAATGACAAACTTGGCAATCTAATCTCCTGATCAATAGAATTGAAAATTGCTTTAAGGTCAAGAAAATACTCTAACAGTTAGGGTATTAGAAAGCTTGGAAACGACAGAATATCTGGTCTTCGCGTTCATACTGACCAGAATCAATTTATATTCTCTAGATTTATTCCTCACTGAGAATTCCGTTTGTTAATATTGATAGCATGTATGATGAAGAAGAATCTATACTGATTAATGAACATGAAGACGATTATGAACCAGGTGGTTTAGCGTACTGCTAAAGGCATGAAAACATTTGTCGCTTTCCAGCTGCCCACATTATGGAAGGATAATTATATCCGAGGATCGGAAGACGAAATTAAATTAATGCACTTTTAGTAAGATAAGCACTTTGATGTAGTAATAGTGGGCTGGTGACTTCAATGTTCAAGTAGGTAGACATAACCGAAAAGAAAAGATACCTAGGCTGGCCTTATGATGTTGCGACTCATTGATAATGGAGACTGTCTGCTACAACTATGCTCAGATAACCGCCAATTTCTAGCAAGTACTAATTTTGAGCATAAGGAACAACACCTTTTGACATGGAAACCCGCAGACAGACAGATACAACGCAGAACTTCGTACGTAAGTACATCAGTTCAGGTTGCCATGCCCCATCAGCACAGAGATGCAATTGACACTTCAAATCCAAGAGTGACAACGATATTAGAAGTATTAGCAACAACGGAGAAGATTAGGGAGCGAAGATATGATTCGAGAAGTATAATTCAGTAAGATAAATTTAGAAGCAGAAAGGTAGAGATTATGAGGAATTCAGAAGATTAGAATTTCATAGAACACAAAGAATAAATGCACCGGCGCCATTGCAAACGATTCTGAGCCATGACGTTCAAGATCTTTAACCATTGGTGACTATCGTCTCGCGGACCCCAACCACGTAGCCTACATCTACCAACATGAATCAGCTCACTTGTCAGTGACTTCATGGATTTGTGCCATGTTTTGGTTTGGTCACCCCTAGCTTTCTTCTAATCTACTCCTTCACCACAAAACATAGCTCGTCGCGGCAGTCGGTGGTTAGGCATACGTAACACATGTCCCAACTACCTCAACTGATGAAGTTTCACTACTTCATCTATTGATTTGCCATCCCTACCCAGAACTCGTTTCCTAACGACAGCATTGCTTGCTCGATTGTCCGAGGATATACGAGCAATGCTTCGAAGACACCTATGATCAAATACTAGTAACCTATGAATATTATAGCTTCTTAGTGGCCCAAGTTTCACACACATGTAGTAGGACAGAGAGAACTGCTGCGCAGTACACTCGTCCATTCGTTAGCAATAGGATATCTTATGTCTTAAGTGACGCAAGTTGTTCGAAGCGAATCAAGTCTTCTGAATTCGTGCTGAGATTTCGTCACACACCAGACCATCAGCACTGATGAGACACCCCGAATAAGTGAAACGGTCAACATGCTCAACTATTTCATTCCCTATCACTAGTTCAGGTGCCAACGCAGGCCAATATTGAAGCAACATTCTGCATTTCGAAGGGGAGAATCGCATCCCGAACATGCTTGCATTGTTGCTATATATGGTCAGATTGCATTTTGTCAGCGTCTTCAGAAAGCAGAACTATGTTATCGGCATATTCTAAGTCAACCAGTGAATCTCTTGGTAGATGGTCCAATTCTGATAATTCCAACGATGAAAATGTTATATCTAAAAGCAGGTCTATGATAAAATTAGGCAAGAATGGAGAAAGTGGACAGCCCTAACGGACATCACTTGAAGTAATCGATTCCGATGACAGTTTGCCATCAGCTTCAAATCGATCTGTAGTGCTCGAATAGAGAGCTTGTATAAGGTTAATGCATTTATCTGGTACACCCTTTAATGACAGACACTGCCACAGAAACTCACGATCCACAGAGACAAAGGCCGCTTTAAGGCCCAGGAAGACAACTTTTGTCGGACGCCTACATGTGTGTCTGTGTTCTAGGACCTGTCGTATTGTGAATATGTAGTCTATACAACCACGTGTAGGTTTGAAACCAGGCTGGTTTTCTCGAGTCTGCTCTTCAAAAGCTGTAGTTAGTCGTCTATGTATTATCGAGGTTAACAATTTGGACACCATATATGTTAAACTGATTCGTCTGTGATTGTTACAAGAGGACTTTAGTCCTTTCTTATAAATTGAGACAATCAGGGAATGATTCCTGTTGGGTGTGATTACGCAGAGTTTCCAAACCCTACCTAAAATCTCAGTCAATCTAACTGCTAAAACTGGGCCATCAGCTTTAAAAATCTCTGGAGTCAATCTATAAGGACCCGCTGCTTTACATCATTTTAGATTTCCTACAGTTTTCTCTACTTCATAGAGTCAGAGGACTTACATTGATTTGCCATTCAGGCTGACTGGAGATCGTGGGAAACGGAAGTGTCGCTGAAGGTCAGTTGAACTGGTCAGTAGTAGTAGTAGTAGTAGTAGCTACAGGATCGGCAGTAATACACACTATGGAGTGTTATAAAGGAAGATTTTTGAAGGTTAGTGGAACGAGGTTTTTGACTGTCAAAATTAATGAGTAGAAGTCTGATCGATAGATGAACGCCATGTAATCCGGCTAAGTAATGGCTACTCATGAAACCTTTATCCTTGATGATTTAGGCACTCGGACAATTAGGAATCAAAGACAGGATCGCTAATCCGAAGTTTAGATTGACCTAGGTTTTATGCAACGAAAGAGCATGTTCATATGCAAAATCTGGACACAAAATAAACACGATAAAATGTTACCGATGATTAAAGAAGACTAACTTGTGGGCCATTTATTCTGCAATCAATTAAGAATTTTGAATGTTGTATAACAAAATAAATACTAATAAGAAAATGACATGTTGACTACCGTCTCTTTCTGAACATACCAATCAGGTTCAAGCTTACTAATTTCTACTGTTTCCGCAAACTGAAGAGACATTGCGTGATTATTTGTTTGTTGACAATTTTGAAGAATTGCAGGAAAGATATCAAGGATGTGCCTGGTATCGATTAAGCGCCAAGTCATCACACTGTTTAGAGTCACTGAGTCTGTCAGTCTCAAATCCTTCGGATCATACTCGGAAATGTGGACCGTCCAATCCTTCAAAACTGTCAACAAACAATCCTGCAATACCTCTTCAGTTTGCCGAAACAGTAGCAATTAAAAAGCTTGAACTTGATTGATATATTCAGAAAGAGACAGTAATCAACTTGTCATTATCTTGATAATTATCATTATTATTAGTGTTTATTCTGTTCTATAACTCTTGCTTAACGTACGCCAAAATCATCATTTCATGCAGTTATTCCTGTGAACGTAGTTAGACCTCATCAAATCTTGCTTACTTAGTAAATAACATTATAACTATGAATTCTAACCAATCGCCACCTTATTGCACTTAACATATTATGTATATTATAAAGTGCTCTAAAAATGATATAAACTTCTCATAACTTGCATACCTGTTTCTGAATTTCATTTAATTACTGGCCAATTACCGTGCTACGGTTGAGAATAAAGGGAGTCCTCCCTCTCTCTCTCTCTTTCTCTGAATTCTCTCATATGTACATGGCCACTGCCACAGAACTTCTACTCACTGCCTTAACGTTTCACAAGAGGTTCATGAAATTGAGAGGACGAAAAGCGTGTCTGGCGCTTTGACCGGGTTGGTGGAAATGGAGGAGTTGGAAAATTTTGATTCCTTATCACATGTTATTCAGGATCCTGATGAAACACATGGCCTACGAACCGATAAATAGTGACCAGATACCATGAGACTGCATTTTTTGAAATTGCTCCAGTGTCTTGGGAATTAAACTTTCAGGTGAACGATTAAAGGTTCCCTAACAACACCACCTGCTTCGGATCGGGCATTCGGAAAGTATCCTGGCCCGATCACGAATTCAAAAATTTATGGGGAGCACAAATATTTGGGTGCCTTTTTGCTGGCAGTAACATTTTAAATATAAAGTTTTTAATAAAAAATTAACCCAACTTTAATAGTGCAAAACAACCATATGGATTTTGTCTTCAGTTGGTTTAGATGCTTAAATAACCTTGTGATGAATCTTACGAACTTGATTTTCTGCTTTACATCGTTTATGATGTGTAATATAGTAACAGTCACTTGGGGTTAATGATTAAATTTACTCTTCCATCAATGTTAGACCACCTGGAAGAATTGAAAGACGGGTTTTTCGGCTTACTGTACAGAACTTATCGGCATTCAGTCAGCTACAACGTAGAATTTCGTACACATACGTACATTAATCAAAGTTCTCATACGACACTCGCGCAGACAAATGAAATTGTCAATTCAAATCGTTGTAGTAGAAGTAATAGAAGTATTAGCGGTAATGGGGAAGATAAGGGTTTGAAGATATCGTTTTGGTCGTACAGCCCAATGAAATGAATTTAAAAAGAGGAAACAAATATAACATGGGATATTATAGGGAAAGCTCTGAAGCGAAGGTCAGGACTTATACGAGTATAACAGAGCGTATTAACATCTGGTTTAGTGTTAGTGAAAACATTATGTTAGCCAAACAAACAGTGGATTTGCCTTACTAACTATTCTTAATAACTTCTTATTCAGGGAAACGAATAACTAGAGCATATGAAAATCTAAATATCCAACAATGAACTTACAGTGTCATTAAATCCATAATTGATCCTCATACATAAGGGATGTGGTCTGTGTTTCGAAGTGGACAAGGACGCAGATTTCATGGAATCTTCTAAACTAAGACCTCGAATAAGAGGAGGGATGCATCCTGGAGGTACAGTTGAAGTGCTGTTAACATGAACTTGTGAATCATAACTGCTGAAATTTTTGTCAGAATTCAAAAAATTCATGTGTACAAGTATGTATGGTCTTCAGAATATTAGAATATCAAAAATAATGAGGACTGCATGATAAGTAAAGGAATATGATATTCTATGATATGTCAAAAGCCCGCTGCAAAGAGCCTTTGACCTTAACAAAGAATTTATATGAATGAAGAGGATAGTAAAACAGTATTCAATACCCAACATCTCCGTCACAGTTTATATAATTTTACTGATTACTTTGCGCCTGCTTCTCATTATTTTAGTAGAGACCTAGGTATATGATGATATCTAACAGGGTGTAGTTTAGCCTTCGAATTCGGCTTGGTCTCTCTGACTTCCCTCCATTTACGGGAAACAATCCATTTTCGGACTCTATTTTGGGATATTTAATCACTCCCAAAGCCAGAAGAGTTGTCTCCGTTCACTGGTCGACCATGTGAGTACAACTGCAGGAAAACGGAACCATTCCAAGTCAGAACCATTGTGCGGTAGGTCTAGCTTACTCGATCAACTGCTCTCTTTCTAGTTGATTCGGCAGCAGACACACATTCACTCACTCACTCACAAACACAGGACTTGCGGACATGGTGCTGGATACTGCTTACTAGGACCGTCAAAGGTAAAGCTGCAATTCTTGAGTACTTTCAGTCTCCATTCCTTGTAGTTATATTATATACTTCTAAATTCTTTCCTAATTTACTGTTTCATGCATTTCGTGTCTTAATTATCTCAGCATTCACCTCTAACTCTCTCTGGTATCATGTTTGGCAATAAGGTTGCTGGCACATCTTAAACTATAACGACCAGGAAAAGCTGCAGAGGTATGAACCGCGGGTTCCAGTCTCGTGATACCGGGTTGTGAAAAAACCGAACCGTCACTTCGGATCACTCAACGCAAACACCACTAGCTCTCAAACAGTGGAAGTAAGATATCACTCCTCCGAACCCTACTCCTAAAAAGACCAATAGGCTAGTTGAAAATGGGAGAAAAAGGTGTCCCATGGCTCAGTCAGCACAATCTAACGTCCATAAAACGCATAATGATGACTGCTTCGCCTGCTCATTACCAGTCAAAATCAGTGACTCTGCTTTTGAATGCGATTTCTGTCGTACATAGGTCCATTGTCACTGCGGCACGACAGTACCTTAAGAGCACTATGGATTCAGGCTGAGTCATCCCTGCCCGTGGTTCTTGTATATCTGCTCACGGTGTTGAGTATCTGAGGTATTGGCAAAGCCACAGGTGCCACCCAAAATCAGCTATAAAGTCCTAACGGACAAATCAAAATCGCCTGACACTAAACCAGTAAAATAAGTGACCAAGGCTGCCAAAACCCTGACTAACACACCGACAAAACTGCCGGCTGTTGTTACCCCCCCAGTATCTGTTATCAATGCAGAACAGTGGGTAAATGGTAAGAAGGGGAATAGCAACACCCAAACTCACATCAGCTGCCACTCAAGGACAGGGATTATAGAATAAATTCACTGTATTTAGTGTCCCGGTGTCGGAAGGAAGCTTGGTAGAAGGTAGGACTGCCTTTGACTAAGAGTAGTGGGCCAAAATGTCAGCGAGGGCCTGGACGAAGCTCACGAGCACGATGTGCAACAGTGGTGATGGCTATAGCGCAGCCAATAGACCTCTTACAGGTGCTAGAGCTCAGATAGACAGACTGACTGAGGTAATACTGCAACAGCCACTTATGGGGTTTGATCAAATACTCTTAGCTGGAGATTTCAATACCCCATCTCTAAATCTCGGCAGTCAGAGTAAAACTTCTACTGGTTGATTCCAAAGACGACTTGTCGCAGCCATTAGAAGCTGTGGGCTTACTGAGCACGTATGCAGTGCCACTATATGGACTAAAGAAGGAAAGTCCTCGAACCTGGATTATTTGTTAACAAATGATCAGCTCTTGGTCGAGGATGTTCAAGTCCATACTCCAACAGAAAGTAGTGACCATGTCACAGTCCCGTTTAACATGGTCATAAATGAAACACTCACACAGGACGAAAAAATGCCCTATCTTTGCTACACTAGGGCAAATCATACGCGTATGAGAGAGGTTCTCATACATGCCACATGGTCAAGGGATTTGGTGGGGGCTGGCAGTAGATGATCACTGGAAAACCGTGAGAGACATCATCCAAAATGCTGTCGTAGACAATTTACCTCAGTCACAACACACATCAGAGAGTAGAAGAACTTGGGTTAGGCGCGGCAGTGAACGCTCATTACAGTAGAAGGGGAGAGCCTAGCACAAGTGGAAGGTCTCTTTGAAGGATTCTGATCGCAGTTCTTATTCGTGATTGAGAAACAGATGTAATACCAAAGTTCGAAGTGACAGGAGACAATATCAGATGAAGCTAGCCGCCAAAATAGAGGCAAACCCGAAGTATCTGTTTGGGTTTATGGCGAAAAGAAGACCTGCGAATCAGGGATTGTGTTCTCCCAAAGGACCGAAGAGGGAAGACCTCATCAACCTAGAGATGGCTCAGACCTTCAGCACGAACGTTACTGATCACCTAAACCAAGCATCCACCTGTTCACAGGACTACCCCAACCCGTTGCCATCTAACGGCTTAGGGAACATCCGTATCACTCCTGACTTAGTACTAAGGAAACTAGAATCCTTACGCCCAGGTAAGTCACCAGGTTATGACAAAATTCGCACATAGTCTTACAACAATGTGCTGAAGTAATCTGTTCACCAATATGCGACCTGTTCAGATATTCACTGGAGTCACACCAGTTTCCAGCTGAGCGGAAAAAAGCTACCCTCTCTCCAATCTTCAAAGGAGGAGATAGAAAGTACCCAGCCTGTTACAAACCAGTCGCATTACTTCCAATATTATCAAAGGTTATGGCAGGGCTAGTGGACGAACAAATGAGGGAGTACATGGATAAGAATAAAATACTCCATGAAGCTCAACACGGGTTTCGGAAAGGCAGGTCGTGTGCATCTAATCTTCTCATCTCATGGGAGAGTTGGACATCCTGCTTGGACCGTAAAATACCAGTGCACCTAGTATTTCTCGACTTCGCAAAAGCCTTTGATACAGTGCCCCACGCACGCCTAATCGAAAAGGTCGTGGAAACGGGCTTCACTGACCCACTCGTATCTTGGCTCAGAAACTACCTTGAGAATAGAAAGTTTCACACTAAAGTAAACAGGGTGCACGCGAGTTGGCGAGTATCCACATCGGGAGTTTCACAGGGGACCATACTAGGCCCACTTCTCTTCCTGATATTGATTAACAACGTGTTAGACTTAGTTAGTTCACCGGCATTGATCTACGCAGACGATGCTAAGATCTGGAGGTCCATTAGAAGCGAAGAGGATTCAGTCGAGCATCAAAAGGACCTTACATCTATAGAGGAACGGGCAGTGAAAAACGTTTTAAAGCTCAATCGACCGAAGTGTAACGTTATGCATATTCTACCCCACATGACGCGCACGATTTAAATTCTCAATGGAAGTCCTCTCCCTGATGACTCCTCAGAGCGCGATCTCGGTTCAATAACCACTGAAAGCTTCCACACGAGTATGAACTATGTAGGAGACACAACCAATGAAAATGAGACTCTTCACTTTATGAGAAGAGATCTTGGTGCTATCACCCCAGAATTATTTCTAACATTATATAAGACGTATGCACGCCCATACCTGGAGGTGCACAACGTCATCGCACACCCTCTGCTTAAAAGAGACATAAATCTCTTGGATCGAGTGCAATAAATTTGTATTTACCGATGATTCATTTCAAGTCACTGAAAAATTCACCTTACGTTATACAGTAGAACGCATTTAGAAGGCCGGGAGAATCAAGAGGGGAGCTGATGTAGCCTTAGAAAGTACCAAACTCAATGAATTCAAGATATACCTCAGCAATAAGTCCTAGGCTTTTCAGGACCTACTCAATGGATTGCAAACTGCCATGATCAACAACCGGAGGGGATTCTAAAAAACAATCACTTCAACATGTGAACATGTCTGGGCTAAGCAAGGCACTATTGAAAAGATAGGATTACTGTTTATACAGTGGATATGATTCGCGAAAGGAAAATCAAGAAAGCCACGACCCTCATCAGCCGAACAATAGCTGAGAAGGCCAAGGTACATGAATTATACACAAAGGCAAACGAGCAAGTGAAGAGAAGCGTCAGAGTCGACAAACGTTAATATGTGGAAGATCTAGCAGTGACGGCGGAAAAGGGTGCAATAGATGGGAACTTAAGACATTAGTATGATACAACAAAGAAGCTCACTGGAAATGAAAAGCGGGTAAGGCGAAGTAATAACCAACATTAAATAACAGCGAAACATGGGTTGATTACTTTGAAGAACACTTGAATCGACCAGCCTCACTGAACTCGCTTAGTATCGAAGCAGCACCCACGGAACTCCCGATCAATGTAGGCTCATGGCCATTAGATAAGTGAAGAGCGGCAAAGCAGAAGGACAAGAAAACACTCTAGCATAGGCAGTGAAATCAGACGTGGCAGTAACTGCAAACATACTGTTCATTCTCTCCAAGAAGATTTGGGGGGAAGAACAAGTGCTTACAGACTGGAAAGAAGGATAACTGGTCAAAATACAAAACAAAGGCGATCTTAGCAAGTGTGAGAACTACATAGGCATCACTCTTCTCTCAATACCAAGCAAAGTCTTCAACAAGGTATTGTTAAACAGAATGAAGGACTTTGTAGACTTCTAACCACGAGATCAACACGCTGGATTCCGTAAGGATCGATCGTGTACCGAACAAACGGCAACATTGCGTATCATTGCGGAACAATTGATTGAACGGAATTAACTTCCATACATCAATCACACTGACTCTGAGAAAGCATTTCAAAGCGTGGACAGGATGATAATGTGGAAGCTTCTCCGATACCGCGACGTGCTTGAGAAGACAGTCGATATCATAAGCAATTCTTGTGATGGATTGAACTGAAAAATCATGCATGGTGTGCATTTCGAGCACTCGTTCGAATACAAGACCGGTATCAGGCAAGGTTGATTACCGTT